TTAAATTTCCATATTTGTCCACTTACATTTTTTTATTTTGTAACTTCAATTATACTTTCACCAGAATCTGATTGTTCAACGTAATTGTGGTCGGTGAACCCAGAGCTACATTAATACCAGCGAGGGTTAAGCTAATCTTCGACCCTTCAGAAGGTCTGCTATACATGTCTTAACTTGTGTGCTTAGAAAAAAGCCCTTCTGGAAGATGACCAATTTATTTTTTGTATACAGTAAACTCATGAAGAAAGAAATGGAAAGAAAGATCATATAGTCAAGTCTTTGAGTGTTTCTGCTTGCATGTGTTTCAATAAATGAATATAGATAAATGGATTTAATAAATAAGTGTCCACATTTTCGACCGAACCATTTTTGGTAACAACTTACTTAATTTATGTCTTCGTTTGGGGGGATGGGTGGGGAAAGTAATTTTTTGAGATCGCAAGAGCGGCCCCAGTCATGAACCTCATAAACTGGGGACTTGAAATGGAAAGCACGCAGTTAGTGACTTTGAGCATCGTGTGAATGTCATGTGAATGATTGTAGCTGCGATTGTGAGCGATTGTGAATTGCATAAACTCAAACTGACCTCCTTGATCGGCTAAAGCCACTCCTTCTCATCGGCTCGACACATGAAATGGGGCAAAGTTTCCGGTCGTTCCGACTGAGCCAAGCCCCAGCAACCAAAAAAGCTGAACCAACGTTTACTGTCGTGACCAATATCCTCCAGCACCCTGTCGGCAATACCATCTTCCAGGTTTATCTAGCGCCGGAGAGGCCAGATGTCTGGTTGTCGTTTCTTCCAACCCAACCCTGCTCAGCCCAAATTGCTAGCCAAATTTAGAACACATTACAGAATAGGATCTTAGTTTCCGATGTCGCTTAATTTGATATTGGGTACTGATAGATGATTTTTTAACTCAATGAAATCACTAGGCCACATGATGCTATTAACCTTAATTTACCCTTGCCTCCCCAAAGTCATCTCATACAGACTTGACTAAATTGTGGTTTCAACTTCGCCCCCCAACGGTCTTCGGTACCTGGTCGTGAGTATCGTGGCGAGGTTATTACTCCACTTTAGTACACGACCACGCCTGCCAGGGCGTTATTTGGCTGATGTGACATTCAAGGCAAGCCTGACCTCTCTAAACTCACATTTTCACAGTGGAATTGTCGATTAAGCAAGCATCTGCCTGCTATTTCAAATGTCAAAGTTACTTATTATCGAGATGAGTGGTTTTCGAGACTATCAATAAGTCTGAATAAGAGATTAGTCATCCTGACTGGCTCAAGGTGATCGACACTCACAAGGCCCGGTTTGCCTTAAATGTCGCAACTGCCCCATAACCTACTGACAGCAGTGGCCGTGCATTTCAGTGGAGTAGCAAAATCACCACGATACTCATGAGCAGGTATTGAATCCAGCTGGGGTTGCCGATGTGACAATGAGGTGGGGTTGAAACTGCAGTCTGGTCCAGCCTGGATGCGGTAGTCATTGGGAGGCAGGGCTAGATGAAATTCAGGGCATCGTGAGACCTACTCAACTCATTGTGGGAAAAACTCATCACTTAGTCGCTCAGTCACATTATAAGCGACCTAGTGTGACTTAGTTTCTATTCGATAATTATTTATAGTTTTGACAACTTTTTTTATTGAAAATAACTTTACCTGATATCCTCTTGCCCGACTCTAATACTGAGTAGGCATTCAGATCTTAAATCAAGTAGCGTGCATGGCTAACACTATAATGTTCTTGCTTCTCTTTCACGTTACCATAGCAGTGTATACCTCCCTTCTTCTCACCTGGAGGGTCTTCTGCTTGAGTTGCAACGGAACAGCTGCAGCCTCAGACCCTATTAAACTTTATAACTGGTAGCTCCGAAGACACACCCATTGTACTCATGACTGCCTCAATCATGACTCTCTCGCAAGCAATCATATGCTCCAAATATGATTTGATACTGACACACTCTTTTATATGTTTTCTACTCT